CTCTCTCTCTCTCTCTCTCTCTCTCTCTCTCTCTCTCTCTCTCTCTCTCTCTCTCTGTAACCAGGTACTTACCTGCAGAAAGGCGGCGCCTTGATGCAGGTGTGGACGCGCTGAAGACAAACTGGAGCTATGGGTGAGTCCCCTGGCCTCCGCCAACCTCAACTCCACTAACACCCGCTGCAGCGTGCTGCAGCCCAAGCTCCAATCCGCAAACTGATGTCATCACTAACCTCGAGCCCAGCACTGTAGACTAACATCGTAACAGTGCCCAGCGGGTTCACTTCTGCTGCTACAAAAACTACCTCCCGACTACTGGGCAGACCAGCTAAATATAGCGCTGGTCCGCTAGGAGGCCAACTGTGTGCCCTGGGCCTCTCTATCCAGGGCCGTCCGATCTACTGGTCGATCGGCGGTCCTAAGGACTGGTCTGGCGCCTAAACCTGTTGCCTAAACTAGCCTGGCGCCTAACAGAAACGGTGCCGGTACTAAAACAGGGCCTGGCGCCAAAACGATCCTGCACCAGGGCTTGGTCTGCTAACTGTCGCACTAACTGGGCCCCCAAACGGTGCTGGTCCTAACCCGGACTAGTAACGAGCCTCTAGACTAGACCCTCAGCCTCTAGGACCCAGTGGACTGAACTAACCGTGGACCTCTATACCCTAGAGCTCCCCCTTGAGTCCCATAAGCCCCCTAGTCCTACCAATCGGGCCCTGCAGGGCCAGTGTGGGAGCCGTGCATGCCACACTTCCCAAAGTCGGAATTCACCAGCACAGGAAATGGTCTCCATGTTCTCCTGTAATGTGTTCTACATAGAATGTACGTTGTGCTGATAGAATGTCTCCATATTCTAAAAGACAAAGAGCATGTAGAATGTACTATGTACTGATACAATGTCTCCATGTTGTAAAGGACAAGGAGCTTTCCTGTACTATGTATTATGTACTGTGCGCTATCCAGACAAGGAGCTTTCCTGTATGTACTACGTACTACTATGTACTGTGTAGAATGCATTATGTACTAATATAATGTCACTTGGTCAATAACAATGACCAATTAGATGAGCTAATCTCCAATTACGCAGAATTTCCCTAGCCTATTTCCAAATGCACAGAATGCCACGCTTCAAAATGAGGAAGAAGAAAATTTAAAAATTAAGGGAAAAGTGATCGGTTGCTATCCACCAAGCATCTAGTTTGTGCTTTGAAGTTGATGATTAGCCGGATGACTGGCTGTGAAGGTTCGCTTTCCTGTTTCGTTTATAAAACTTTACATAACCCTGCCGTCACGTTCGAGAGAATGACGAGTGTCATTTTGCTTCCTTCTT